TATGTCTGTTAGAAAAAGAGAGGTTACCATGAGGTGCCATATTTCGTTCGGTAAAAGACAATCGAAAAAGAAAAAAAAGATAGAGAATAGCGTCTAATGGAGATGACCGCGACAGTCTTTCTGATATTGAAGATTGCGATTCAACTATGATTTAAGTTGCGTGTGTTCCATCTTTATAATTATATCGGTTATTTCGTGTTCGATATCGCAACAGCAAACACGGGGTCATGCGACATCGTCATCAACATCCACGATAGATGGGATGGCTTATAGAGAGCAACGCATGCTCTGCAACCGCGCGCGATTATTGCGCAACCTGGTGCGTTGCGCATCAACCGATGGTACGTAATTTCACGTAGGTGTGCGAGCGTGTACATATATAAGAGGCCGCTCCAAATCGTTTCTAGTGTTACTGATCAGCACGTAACTTTCCGCTTAACGATTCCTCGGGTCACCGTACTCACGCTCTAAGGCAGACGCCTCGATGTGATCACTTCCCAATAACCATCTTTTACCTCTCTCGTCTAAGTTGCTTCGATTTTGCTTTGGAACGGATCGTCGCGAATAGTTCCTTATTCAGATTTCAGACTTTTACCAAGTTGATTCGAAATGACGTGAACAGAGATCTCTTTAATCTTTGTCAGAGAAAGATTTTTGATTTCTTCACGAACGATATTGTGATTAACTCTCTATGATTTATTGTACCCTCTATAGATGAATCTTATTATTTGAATCATCTTTTTGGTTCTTTTTACGAACATAGATCAATGATATTTTTAATCGCTTTTATATAAATAATTTTTGAAGCTTATAATTAGAAAGCTTTCCATAGACGGTCTTCATTACTGCAATATAGAAACGTTAATTGATGTTGCGTTATTAGTGAGAAACATGTATTAGTGAATATGATTGCCGTGAGAATATGTTCATTTCTTTGCCGTGTAGAGCATGATAGCGAAGAAAATCACAAAAAAAATTGTTCATTTATTCAAATTTACAGTGTAATTCCAATTGAGAGATCAATATCTATTTGAATCTTTCTAAATTGCATCCTTTCGAATACAATCGCTTTGACATCGAATCTAGTTATAGTACACGTGTATTGCCTAAAGGGTGAGTGAAATGCTTTGCGTAATCGGTCATACTTTCTTTCTATGATGCTTATAATAAGTTTGTGGAAGAAAGTTCCTGAACTGATGAGGTAATCTATCTCACTCCCCCAACGAGTTATCTCAGTGTGTTGCTTGCAGTTATGTAAACTCTTTAATTTCTAAAATCGATTTATGTGCCTTTTGCAGACTCGTATTGATGGTTCGACAAACCGACTTGTACCGAAGCAGAAATAAAATCAGTCCTATGGAAAACAATAAATCACATCGGTCTTTCCCATGCATTTCTCATCTCATTGGTAAACAAGTCAGTCTTCGCTCCACTAGCTTCACAATCTTGAAGGATAAACGGAATATTATATTTCTCAGGTAATTTCATGGAAAGCAGATTGTGATCCTATTTCTATTCCATATTATTCCATTTATTCGGCTAATTTTTTAAATTCGATTTCGATAAATGATTGTTACAGCTAGCATTGGAAGAGTTAATACGCTTAATAATACGCTTAGTTATCAATCTCAAACGGTAATAAATTCAATCCATGCTATACGGATATCTGATTTCTGGAATCGGATCAGATAGAGAAGATGTCGGAAATCGAGGAGACATTGGACAGAAATCAATATATATTTATAGAAATCAACATGATTTAATAATCGATAGGATCGGTGAGTTGTGAGTCGATTCGAATTAACTGGTATAGGGGTGCGGCTCGCGCAAAAAAAAACGGGGCAATCGTGAGTCTCGATAATAGGATACTATGATCGTTCGAGACAATGTATATCTTAGCTTGAGAAGAATAAACTGAAAAGAATAGACTGGGATGCTTTCTAAACGGATCGAGTCTCCGAATACACCGATACGCTTTGAGAAGACCCAGCCCTTTGCCGCGCTATCCGTGCATTCATCTATCTTGCTGCTCGTGTTATGCCAGAGGTGAGGTTCATCGGTGAAACACTTTATCGAGAATTGTTCCGCCGCAATCTCGACGCTCGTCGAATCGCTCTAACGGTGGGCGCTGTCTCCAAAAAAGGATCGTGCATGAGAAGACAGGATCTTAGCCGAGTAATAAGCGATCTATGCTCTAATCCATCGTTCTTCTAGTTGAGACACTTGATCTTCTCGGTAAAAGCCGAATATGGTGATAGTTTTATAGGAGAAATAAAATTTTTTTTTAACCTTCTTCTTATTGTTCCACTACCTTAGCAATAGATTCTACTACATTTTTGTTCTTGTGTTTTCTTCCAATGAGAAAATTGAATTCTTTAGAAGATTGGATATTTTATTTTGTTAAAATATTTTGTATGATTAAAGTACATTGTGAAATATCATTATTTGTTCATCTGTTGCAGTTTAATGGATTAGGAAATATTAGGTATAGCTTTGATAGGTTAGTTAATTGCAGTTATGAACACAACATGGCATATGCATGTGTAAAGAGAAATAATTTCATACTCTATTGCCGCGAGGATATTCCCGTAATCAGAATAATCAGACGACAATTCCAAATCAACTTTCTCCCCAGTAAGAATTCTAAGAGAATAAGACATGAACGAAAATTGCGGAAGCGGCTCACACGTCGTTATTGAATAATGATCTCGAACGGGAGGGACTGCACGCATAATGCCTCCCTACTATCATCTCAAATCTTGCTTTGTTACGATCTTACTAGATAGATGATTGCACCATTTCGAAAGAACCACATAGAGGTCGACAAAGGAGGAAAATATTTTTGCGGTTTAGGTAGTTCTTTGAATGCTTTGATGCAACCATGTGGACGCAATGATAACAGGGAGCATGACGAAGTAGATGAGCACGCGTTTCCCGCGACTAAACTATCTTCTCGCAATTCTATGCAACAACCTGATGCAATTGATGGAGAATTCTTGTGTATTGGAATTCTTAAAATACGTATTAGTATACTTTCATCCGGGATACCGAGCGTACTATCGTGATGATAATCGTTTCTCGTTCACAGTAATATGTAAAATTTAAACATTTCTCCTTTTGCTTAGATGCCTTTAGGCTATAACCAAGTTGAACGATGTAATTGATCAGGATAAAGATGGTAGAAGGATTAGAAGAACAAAGGAACGTTAGTAAAATTATCTTTTGTTAGAGATTACCACTGATGAATCTTCTTCGATGGAATTTGAAAATATATCGCAATTATTCGATCCGGGATCCTCCACGATCGACGCGATCGAGACTAACCGAGATGTCGTTTTCTCGATTTAAAAGGGTCATCTCCTGAGTGAGCGAGTGAATGGGTACTCACGGTAGCACACTCTGAGCCTTCTCTTTGTGAGCTGGCTCATGGTTACGGGAAAAGAAAATATAGTTCAGTCTAGTTGCATAATGGAATAGAGGTGCATCACATTGGTTCGACTAAGGTACTTTGAGAATCTATAGTAACGGCGAATATTTCTTCTTTTAGCCGTCAATGCTGACCTTTGAAGCTGAAGGCATAGCTGAACACTTGTAACACCGCTGTTCGCTGAGGGTAGGGGTGCAGTCATGCTGTAACCAAGATGAAAACCATTAGCCCCGAGCTATGGAGTTAGATGATCTAATTTCTATAGTTTGTATACCGACACCCGGACTCGACCTGTTCACCTTGGATGCTGAACAATATAAAAGCAAGCCCTTCGACTCATGAGCTTAAAACGATGCTCGACTGCATCGTCAAAACATGAATTAATATAAAAATGAATTCAATCGGTTTGTATTATGTTTAATTTTATAATAAATTTAAAACGTCAATTTAATTTTTATAATTTTCATAATTCAATTTGAAATATAAAAAATATGTTATAAAAAATAAAAAAAAATCAATTTTTTTTATTATATTTATTTAATGGAATATTTTTTTTTTTAAATTTATAATAGTAATTCTATTCTTTCTTACATATTTAGAAGATATTTCACGAATATATGCTAATTAAAATCGATGTGATCTTAGATCTAATTAATAGTGATGCAGATGATTAGGAGTCACATTCGTGTTTAATTTAATTGGAATGTTAATTAGATAGTAAGTTATAGCGAAGCTCAGCACTACATTCTTTTCAGTGTAACATATATTTTTAATTTTTTTCTCATTAACCATTTCTACTATTCATTTTGAATAAAATGTTCTTATATATTATTAATTTTCAGAAATTATGATTTCCTAGAATATTTCCTATAGAAAATATATATTTTTTAATATTAATTTTTAATAAAACAAAAAAATTGTATATGAAGTTATCTTTTTTTTTTTAACTTTTTTATGTCTTTTGTCTGTGTTAGATTTTTTTTTAAATTTATATATATATGAATTTGAAATAAAATATTGATAAATAATACCGTACATGAGGAATAGTAACTCGTCCATGATATGAATGAATAGAAAGTTGTTCTTCCAGTCTGTTATCTACGAATGGTAAATCGCATGTTTTTTGGCATAAATGATTGATCTATTTTTTAAATATATTTTAAATATATTTATAAAACTTAATAATAAATAATTTTTAGAATTTTTTCAAAACTATAAAAACATATAGAGACTAAGATTTCAAACACATAATTATAATAATTATAAATTATAATTATAAATTATTCAACATTATAAATATAAAATTATTATTTTATTCTATAAAATTTCAAAATATAATATAAAAATCATTTTTCATATTCATTTTCCAACAAAAATTGTTGGAATATTTATCTTAGATTTAATCGTGTATTAAGTTTTTATTATTGTAAAGAAAAACATTGCTAAATATAAATTACAAATAAAAATCTAAAAATTGTTATATTAAAATAATTTTGATTTAATTGAATCGAATATAATTCTTAAATTTACCATTTTAAATTATAGAGGGCATTGTAAAACGTCTGATTTTTTAGACGATCGGTATTTCAGAACATGGGACACGAAGTTTCTCACAGTATGATAGGTCTATTCTATAGCTTGTTTGTGGTAGAAGTTTGCATTTTGTAGAATGGAAAAACCGTTATATCCAGTTTTTGTGAAATATTCAGTTATTGAAATTCAAGAATTTAGTAATTATACAATATTATTTAATCGAAATGGAAGAGGATCGAGAGCAGCAGCATCCAAATAACATTTTTCTATTTCAACTTGGAGTTTCAAATAGCTTTAAATGCATTGCAGAATCAGTGAGGTAATTAATATTATTTCAATATTTAAATTAAAAATATCATTTTTATTGTCTTGTTGCGCAAACGAAAAAAATATTTATCATAATTAAAATAAAATATATTATTTTTATATTATAATATGTTATTAGGAAATAATGTTTAGAGGTTATGTAAGCTGTCAGCTTGGCGTTCCCGGTTCTTTTAGATACACATATATGCGCATGCGCAATTAATTAATATTTAAATCCAAATTATAAATTTTTAATTATAAATATATTAAAAAAATGTATAGATAATTATGAAATAAGAAGACTTTCACTGATTTTTATAATTTTTGAAAATGTTTATAAAATTAATATTTTAAATAATTTTTTTTTTTTTATTATCGCTGCTCAGTTTTTTTTTTAAAAATTGCTAGAATTTCTAAGAATGTATACATTCGTAGTTGCGCATGCATAAGTATATGATTTCCATTTATTTTCTGTTAATATAAACACAGCAACAGCAAACAACTAAGATGTATAACAAGTGAATTAATAAAAAATCTTAAACTAACTTTTTTATGAATTATAATGAATTAAAATGTCTCAAATCCAACATCGAGCTTAAGCATCGTTCATATTTTACAAAAATAAAATACAAAAATAAAAGAATTTTTGAGCCATCGAAATTACAACGATAAATATTAAAAATGGTATTCATTGTAATTTTAATCATTGTAATTTCCCAAAAGGATGAATTTTATTTTTGCATTTCGCAGATCTGAAGAATGTTCAAATTTGGCATTGGATTTGAGATATTAAATCCACTATAATCTATAAGAAAATAGCTTTTTGACTGCTTTTTCTGTTATACATTTTGATATTTGATATTTTGATTATTGCAATGTATTTATACAAACAATAAATAAGTAGTTATATATATTTATGCATGTACAACTACAAAATATATATGTATAAAAAAAATTCCATGAAATAATAGCAATCTCTTTTTTGCAAGTATTTCGAAAATTAAGGCTGATAATATATAAAGGAAAAAGTTGTTTAAAATTTTATTCTGCAACATTCCAAAAATTATTTGTTGAGGACCTTGTTATTCCGAATAATTACCAATATGTTTATAGTATTTTTCTAATATTAATATTGAAATATAAATTATATTTTAAAAAATAAAATTGTAAAATATACAGTAATGGAAAATTTAAAATAAATATATGTGGAAATGATTTATTGTACGAAAATCAAGCTTGGTTATATTATCGTTGAATTTCAGGTTATGTTTTCGCGTATGTTTGCACGATAACAGTACTAGCAATGTATATAAGTATGTCAAGTACGAGCCGCGGTTAAGAATGCTATTTTAATTAAGAAAACTAAAGAGAATACATAATCAGTGAGAACCAAGTAAGATGTAGTAATATATTTTAGTGAGCATGATACTTCGTTTATCGGTGGTAAAAAGAGGAGGAAGAGGTGATGAAAGAGAAGGAGGGATCACCAATGACCCAAACGAACGATGGTGTTACTCGATGTCATTGGCCTCTCTGGAAGTCGTATGTTAATTTGTCGGTGTTCACGTGGCTAAACAATTGTCCATTGCTATTTGGTAGTTCTGTGGGCACAAGTCGATTTTCAAAATTGGTTCCCTTCGATTCTGGCTTCCCAGAATTTGCCGCTCTTTGAAACCCAACACACTAGTTGACCTTCGAAGAATTCCACGAACTGTTCGAGGAAACAAAGGGTCCCTGGTGTGGTCACCATCGTTCGGCTCCATCATTCGTATAGTACGTGTCGTGGGGATCGTACGGGTGCTTCTGTTCGTCCGTTATTCTCACGTTAAAATAGCTTAGTGATGAACGTGTTTTACGACTGAAGTATTCATTATTTTCATTATTTACATGCTTTCTTTTTTTTTGGTTAATTTTCTATTCTGATGTGAAGATTTATGGTAAGATTTTTTTCATAATGATCTCATAAAAGTGATCAAATTAAAATTTGGCGAAATGAAGAAACATATCATGAAGCGTATTCAATTAGGTCAGGACTAATGCAAATATGTAGTGTCGACATCAAATTGCACCCGTCCCGGCCTGATTGAGTACGCATAAATCAACGGAAGAAGAATCAAAGGTGTGGTCTTTATGTTCGTAATTTCCTGCATTTTCCACAAGATATGTAATATTGTATATTTAAGTGTATCGTTTATAAATCTATAAAATTGTATATAAATTATAATTATTTTTATGTTTAAATTTTCTTTATAAAAATATTTAATTTTTTCTAAAATTTTTCTAAAGTTAAATTGTATTAAATGAATTAAATAATCTAATTTTTTATATTTTTATAATTAAAAGCAGTAAATTTTATGTTTATAATCATTTACGGAAAAATTTACGGAAATTGTGTAATGCGATTACGAATTGCTATTGTATGCTTGTAATACTACGAAACTGGATTGGCTTGTCCGAATACTGGTTCTTCCCCCATTCAATCGCGCGAGCCTTTATGGACGGTAAACAAAGAAAAATTTGATCTCGGCAATAGTAGAGCCACGTCATAATGATTATTAAATGCAATTTATTTAGTATTATTTCATTTTATTTAAAAAAATAATATTATTATTTTCTTTTATTGTTTTATATATACACAATAATTTATACACATTTTTGTATCAACTAATAATTATATGTACCAATAAAATTAATAAATAAAATATAAACAAGATGTATTGTTCTATACATTATATGTTTCTATATATGATATTTTTAATTAAAATTAACACTAACTAACTTTAAGTAGATTAATTAATATTCATAAAAAGTACAATTAATTTGTTGTAAAGTTTAAAATTAATATTTTATTTGAATGGATATTTAAAAACTATTTAAAAATATTTCAGTGAAGATGCTTTTATAAAGATTCTAACAATTTTAAAATCAAAACGGAATATTGGTCAAAAATTGTATAAAGCGATGTGCAAAGAGCTTTTTGATAATATGAACGACGATTTGGAGGATATATTGAATGAAGGAAGTTTAAAGAATGGATTAGAAAGAATTGCGAAGTTATCGGATGAAGATGCTTCTATGGTCGAAGATGCTTGGTAAGTCACAATCAATATCTAATTATTAATTTATAATTGATAAATAATTTTATAATTGATAATAATTTTATAATTGATAATAATTTTATATATATATATTTCATGTTTATTTCAGGAGACCACCTGGCAATGTATCTTCGCATTTACGTTCATTGGATGCACAGAAGATTAAAGAAGAAAGCGAGTTGTTGGAAAAGCGTGTAAATGAGATGGAAGAAGAAAATAAAATTTTAATGGAAAAAATTGCAGAAAAGAGATCAAATATTGTGACTATGAATGATACTATAACAGAATCTATAAATAGAACTCAAATTGCTATAAATTCATTAGAAGAAAGAATGGAAGTATTGCAAAAGTGTCTAATATTATTAGATAATGAATAAATGATAGAATTGAAAAGATTAAATAGATAAAGAATATTGTAAAAAATAGGTAAATATTGTTAAAACTGTAAATAGAAGAAATCTTATTTTATAATTTTATAAATTATACAATATTAAATAGATAAATACATATATTAAATAATATATAGTTTATTAGTTTATTAAATTATTAGTTTATTAGTATTAAATTATATAGTTTATTAGTTTATATTTTATAATTAGAATTTTTTATGTTAGTAAATCTGGAATCCATTAAAATCATATTTACTCTTCTTCTTAAATCTGGTGTAATATATACATTTTCTGTAATTCTTTTTAATTTTCGTATTAATGCAATATTTTTCTTCTAGAAATAAAAATATAAAAATTAGTTTGATTATATTGATTATATCGATGTATATATATATATATATATTATATAATGAAATGTACCTCTTGAATTATAATCATATTTTTGATTTCTATCAATTTTTTATTATTTTCATCTGTTGTTTTCTTTAATTCATCTAATTTTTTTTTTAAGTTATCTCTTTGCATTGTTAACGAATTAATTCTTTGTTGAATAGTGTCATTATCAGAATTAACTTTCTCGATACATTTTACATAGTTACAATGAATTTGTTTTAACTCTTCATCTAAATTATTATAATTTCTTTCTACATTATTTAATACATATATTCCTTTATCTTTCAATTGATTGACATTATGTATTTCTACCTCTGTATATTCATATTCTTTTTGACATTCGAATAATTTTGATTTAATATCATTTATTTCTTTATTCATTTGATGTAATTCATTAGAATTCGAGTTTACTTGAATCTTATCATCATATTGTAATTCCATTTCTATCATATTATTTATAATAATATTACATTAATATTCATAATAATATTACATTAAAAAATATAAAATCATAAATTATAAAAAATAAAAAATGAATATAAATTTTATATTACCAGATAATGATTGATCAAGATTATGAATATTACAATTCATTTTTTTTTGACGTTACAGTCAACTTCTAATTCGAATGAATTTACAATATGGCTGCGTAGCGCCAAAGCATTCCCGCGTAAATTGAAACCATATCCTGATTGGAGGAGACGGACCAATGGAAGATGTCCTTTTCGTCAATAATTTGGCGAAATGCTCGACAGATGGCGAGAGCATTAGCTCAGTCCCTGCTACGCACCCGCTGTTCGCCATTGTATCGTGATTGCTGTTAAGTTTCGTGTTTGTGAGTGAGAATTCATCCGGTTTATATCAAGTTCTGGAGTTTTTTTACGCATCGGGTAAGTCGAAATTCTTATTATGCTTTAATACTTTTTCGTTAAGGTTTCTAAATTCTATATAATTTACGTATAATTACGATAGTAAAGTGTGTTTCGTTCCGAAAGGACGACGTATACATTTTTTTGGGGGTTAGTTTCTGACCCTCGCGCGTCAGCCCTCTTCCGTACGCGTGGTCAAGCCGTAAATGATAGTTCGAACCATTTGTGACTCCAAATTTTATAAAATATTCGAGAATAAAATTTATAAGGTTTTTGGAACGTTAATAAAGTTGTTGAGGTTATATGTCGAGTATAATAACCAACTCGATGTTTTTTCCAGTAGTGATTCTACGCCATGCGTTTTTAGACGCTTTGAATCGACAGTTAAGTCAATAATTTCGGCCATGCGACCAGGCATAATATGTCTGTAGAAATTTACGTATTTTGGAATAACATGAACGTGCGAGCATATCGTATTTATGTACCGTTTTCATTTGATCAATTTCTTCACCATTCACTATCATATAATGACTAATTAATTGGATAAAACTGAACAATGAACATTATCTTACTTGATAAGAGTAGTAAGTTAATGAATTGTGCTTACTGTTTTATGCCATACAATATAATCCTATATTACTTATAATGCGTGAGTGATTACATGCATTTTCTTTTCAGAATAATATTATCTATATGCGATTGTTTGTCACGTAATTTGAATCCGGAAGAATAACTTCGTATTATTCCTTCAACGAATCTTTGTTATCTAACTGGTTATTCAATGCAGGGCGTAGCGTCGTATAAAAAAGTATTCCATAGCCAATGACACAATAGTTTTTTTTCATATCACGTGTTTGCATAATTTTTTGTACGATATTTTTTGCGTTCATCATTAAGTAATCCCTAAATTGTGATTATTGTCTTAAGAATGCTTTTATGTATTAATAATTTTGATTCAAAGCATAGATGCACGATTAATTTATTGCGCGAAACTGTAGTGGAATTAGTTTTACACTGTTTTTTACAACGAAACATACTCCATCTGTGAATCGGAAACGATGTTATCCGATGGGAGTTGGGATTAATGTTTTTGCATATGACAAATATAGTCCTCTTATGTTGTAATGATTCGATTAACGTTTCGTTTCGATTGAGAATCTGTTCGATGTAAATTATTGAATCGATATTGAATTATGCGTGTGTACGGACTTTTATCTTAGAAATATTTACACGGCAATGTATTGCTTAACTCTAAAAGTAGATGGCGCCATATTAAATTAAAATTAACAGAAAGAAAAAAGTTATTCTGCATATTTAATAATTTTTTTTAGAAATTTCATTTTTTACATTCTCATTATATAAATAGTTTATTTCATAATTTTATTATCGATAAGAATACAAATTATTAAATTAATTACAAAAATCGATCGTTTACGTTACAATATTCATGTTGAGTAATTGTTACAAATTTCATGTTGTCAAATTAGAATTTTTATTTATTGTTTTATCAATTCAATTAATATAATCATTTTCATTTAAGGTATTGATTATTTTAATAATAATAACTTAATATATCTAGCTAATTTTTAATTGATGATGAATAAATGATTTAAATTAACTTATTTTATACAAATATTTAATAATTTTACACTTAATAATAAAAATTTGACGAATAACTTCATCGATTTTTGTATATCTTTATATTCGCTTCATCTGAATTGAACTTTTTCGGTTAATAACAATCGTTGAAATAATTATCAAGTATATAATCGACATATTTAATTTTCTTAATGCTGCTAGCTCGTTATCGAATAATCCCACGTGTATTAACGATTTCCTTGTCTTTAGCTAGCGTATCTTCTGATCATTCCACCATGAACTTCGACTCTAATTATTTCCTCGTAACGCTAACTGCTTCTGACAATGTTTGCCAGACTCTGCAATTAATTCATCGATTATATTGTTAAATATTCGATCATACTATTCTAATCGTGATTCATGCATATGTGTATCTTTCAATTAGTGAATTCCTTGTGGTTTTTTTGGCTAGAAAATCCTCATGAATGAATCAAACATTCTATCGTTTATATTTTCGTAAAAGAAGCTTTTAATTTACATGTATAATAGTATATACAAGTTCGTATAAATCGTAACCAAAACTTTATTACGCTACATTATCCTTTAATAAATTCGCTCATATTACTATATTTTAAAGTAATAACAGGATTTTTGCTACTCTTCAATCTTGATGATCTATCCTTAAAATCTTTAACAATTTCTCCATTGATAAGCGTCTTTATTACGTTCTGCCGATCCACTTTTTCTTTCATTCTTTTAAGCTGTCATCTTAATTTTTTTCTTTCTTTCTTTCTCTATTCCTTCTTGTCTTCTTATTCCTCATTTGGGATTTCTTCTAACCACGAATGATAACGATACAGTACGATCATTCTTATATTCTTTGTTCTTATGTTCATATGTATAATATATTTATAATTTAAGATTCTTTCTTTAATTATTAATATTTTAATAGATTACACTGTTTTTATTCTCTTTGCCTCATTTGACGGAAACTCTTATCCCTTCTCTCTCATATATAAATCCTGAGTCGTCGATAAGGCAGTCGATAAAGATATCGACGGGTCTCGCAATAATGATATCGCATGGATATCATTCATAATCGTGGAATCGAATATGATATAGAGTACTCTAGAAACGGAAAAGTAACAGCGAGGAACGGTTCCAAAAGAAATTTAATCTTGCCGATTGGTTGTTGGTACTATAACTAGTTTGGGCTAGGTCAAGCCGAGTTAGGTTGCGCTCAGGTAGGGGCATCGTAGCTACGGTAGGGGTAGTGGACGGGGTTCGGTCGGTGAATTTCTGTCGGTGGGGTTGAACACAATGGCACAACAAACCGTTTCCCTGGCAACTGTTCGTTCGGGGTTGCCATCACAAAACTTTCCAACTTGTGACTGCAAACATTAATGCTGGCACACGCGTTATCAAGAGAGAAAAACGACGAGGCGCGGAGGTGGCCGCGTGAGTTCACACGCACGCCCATAGTCACGCGAGCGCGCGTGCTCACGACACGCACCGGCGTGTGTCCCTGCGCGAAACAATGGGCCATCGGGGAGGAGGATGCCCGCGGACCACCCCTCCTTCCACGTTTCATTATTTTCGCTGGCTCGCGCCCTTTTTACTTTTTAACGCGCGCTTATTTTGCTAGCCCGTATGGTGTAATCGCGGCGTAAATTGCCTTACGCACCGCGCATTGTGTAGGGGATATTGTTTCTGAGAGATTACCAACTTGTGGATCCTCTATCCCCTAAAAGGGTCATTGCGGTTATTTTTAGTTAGGAATTATTTTTATCGAAAATTTCGTTGCAAGGATTTTTATCGCTCATAGTTAATTAATTTAACGCTGCATAATTTTCTATCGACTAGGAACGTTAATTTTTATGCAAATACAAAACATTTTTGTAAGATGAATTGACTATTGCAAAAGAAGAAGTCGTTAATTATGCGTGATTAATTGAAGTTATTTTTGTAGGAAGATTTTTATATGAGAATTTTAATAATTATTAATTATTTATTAGTTATAATAAATTTTCAGAAAATTTTAAGAAAGCGGTTAAATATATATATATATAATGTAAAATGCAGGAATTTGTGGAAACAGAAAATTGTTCAATTTTATCATTTTTTTTTCGCTAAAAATTTTTACAAATAAAATTTTTTTTTTTTGTATCTTTTTTTCCATCTTGTTTTTTATATTCTCATTATTGACCTCGAACAACATTACGTAACGTCGCGTTAATGTAATTACAGGCAAATTAGTTATGCCTTTTATCCATTGCAATTAATTGTGCAAATATTTTTGCGTCTTTTCGTCCGTATAATAGATTGAAATACCTGCAAATTTTAATTATACATGAACGCCAATACGGTGCAATTTAATTTATCGATGGAACTCGTGCTCGGTCCCAATGTAAATTTACGAGGATTCACGCACGAGAAAAATAGGGCCTCCTGTTTTCGATCAATTTACCTCGGTACCGCGGATCCATAAAGAAAACCTCATCGTAATTGAACGCACGAATCGAAACGATTTCCAAATAATCGTATGTATGAATACGGATCATCTTTCGCGAATTAATTATTTCGATTAATCCGTTTCTACGAAAGCGCGAACTATTTTCGATCTCGATATACTTTCCAGTTTTTCTCCCATTCGTTATTCTCGATGCTGGTCGTACATTTCACAACGCGCGTCATTTATTTTTAATCACGAAATTTTCACGTCGATGAAAATCGAGATCATAAACGACGTAACGATTCGACAGGAAATGCATTGTCGAATTAAACTTATACATTGAACGATATAAGTATAAGCTTATGTGTTAAATTCGTGTAATAATCTTCGCATATGCGTGTGTGTATCTCTCTCTCTTCCCCTCTCCTCCACAGAATTTTTTGGGATTTAAGATTTATTTCGACGTAGGTAACGATGCTCCAGGGTGAAATGAAATAAATTCCCTCCCTCTCCCTCTTTCTCTTTTGTTTCTGTTCGTTACATTGGACAATTTATATCTTTGTTTGCCTCTTTTTTTTCGTGGCCACATTTAAATGAAATATTTCAATTTGCCCTTGGCTCTCTGTTCGCGCACACGTCCCATGGTATGCTTCATCCCGTTTGATTAATGCCACTTCGATGTCGCTATACTTTTCCGCTTGTTACAAGGAGATTCCTAAAATACCTTTTCATTCGTTTCATTCGTTGAATAATAGATTCAGAATCATTTTTTTTTTTCTTTTTTTAAACTCCAGTCCAATTTTAAATTCATTCTTGTCAAACTTGGATAAATTTTTGTAAACATGCATAATATAATATAATCGATAGAAAGAAGCGTATTTATCAATCTAAGATTGAATGCAAAGGGCGCAAAGTAAAGGAAGGGGGGG